ATCTGGCTAATCTACATGCCTCCGTCGACGGAGGCATGGAGTCTGGACACAGCCTAGGAAACTATTTAGAAATAACTAAATTTGACTTAACTCCCAAAATAACAAAATCGAACTAGCGCGTCCACACAACGGGGAAGCCTCAAAATGAGTCCGAGGCAGGCTCCGTTAATGGAGGCACGCAACCTCAACTTAGAGCCCCAGGAAGCAATGGAGAATAATTACTTCGAATTAGCCTGGGGAATAGTTATTTCAAAATAATGGTACCAAAGCATCCACACTACCGTTATTTTGAAATAACTATTTTGAAATCAGTATTCTTCCTTGAGGAAAGCAGGAGTACAGATTTCAAAATAAGTGCATGTTCTTTGGATGCTCCCCTTATTGATTCAACCTCGGGGGGTTTTTTGAAATAAAGCCCTAGTGTAGACCAGGGCTTACAGAGCTGGTCAGAAATTTTTCAATAAACTGTTCTGCTGAAAAAATGTCAAACCCTTGCAATTTTGTTGGCAAAATAGGACTCATTTTGCAAAATCTCCTGACCTGAGAAATTCCGGGGCGGGGAGAGGGCAGGGGAAGTGTTCTGAAATTGTCAGAATGCCCCCCGTGAACATTTTTCACCTGAAAAGTTCCAGTGACCTGAGCTGAATCAGTTTCTATCTTGACAGTCCGACTAGAAAGTAGTTTTAAAAGAGAGAGGTTGAAAACAAAATGCTTCAAAATTTTCAAAACAAAATGATTCAACATTGTCAAAATCAAACGTGTTAATGGGCTTAAACCAGGTGTTTTTTTTCTGGAGGGTGGGGGGAATTTTTAGACCTCCAACACGTTTGAGATGTTGACTCTTCTTCCCCATTCAGGTTGGGGAATTCTCCTGAGATCTCAAAACTGCCAGCTCTAGTCGCTGCTGGAAAGGGGACGAGCCTCCGAACCCTTTCTCCACCCGTTGGTCTTGTGTGATACCGGTGCACGGTGGGTGGGAACAGGGCTAGTGGCTCCAAATGGCATTTGCTTTGCACTGGAGTAATTGACTCCAGGAGGCCCAGTGCAAAGGAGGGATCAGGCAAAAGGTCTTTGGAAAAGAGGCGACGTGTGAATTGCTTCCGTGGGTGGATGTTGGCTGCTGCTTCCGTACCCATCTTGTGCCGGAGACAGGGATCAGACTTAGCGCTCCTGCTTAGCACTCACATGCTGGCTGCTCTGGCTGGGCTGAGGGGTTTTTTGGGGCTGAATTATGGATATTTATTTGGAAGGGAAACATGCCGGCCCCCAGATCTAGGCTAGACTGCGTTGCCCGCCGCGGGAAAGGATCCATCAGCTGCAACCCCAGATCGACCCTGCTCGCCATCCGGAATTGGTCACTCTCCTGCCTTTTGAAAGGTGCAGCCGAGGTTTCTCCTGCATCCAGACAGCTCAGTTGGGGGTCTCTTGAGCAGCTCCTGTGTCCTGCCCCCCCTTCCTAGGGCGCTCACGCGCGTGCGTGCGCCCTCCTTCCCCCGTCTGCCCTTCCTAGTGCTCGGCCCAGTTGTGCTGATTATCTCCAAACGCCCTCTGGCCCACACGCAGAGCAGCCTGCTGCCGCAAGGGGAAAGCGACGTGTGGGCTCTGTGGTCGAAAGCAGGGGGCTGTGACGCAGGACTCCTGAGCTCTGAGTGGCTGCCAGGCTGTCTGGCCCTGTGCCTCAGTTTCCCTCTAAGGCGAGGAGGGAGGGAGGGGGGAGTCTGAGCGGAGGAATGCGTGTGATTGCTCTGAGATCCCCGAGGAAGGTTGCTCGGCAGCTCGTGCCGCGCCCATCGTGCCCGGGGAGCTGGCCGCGGGGGAGGTGCAGCGGGCCCGGGGGCAGAGGGTTTTTAATGAGGATGTTTGTTTTGCCTGTTTTGCAGAGTTTCAATGTTCTGACTTGCTCTAAGATGAAGGTATGGAAGTTTGCAGCCATTGCCTCGATGCTCCTCAGTTCCATGTTGTCCGTTTTAGTTTGTAGAGACATGCTCAACGGACGCCGGACACACAGCCCCTTCCCTCCCTCGCCGTCACGCTCCGCCTCCTCTTCTGCCTTGCCTGCAGCTCCACGGAGACACCCCCGCGCCCTGGAGCCCCGGGGCCAGCTGCTCTCTCGATGTAAGCCACAGCATGCTTCTGCCTTGACTCCATCCGCCGGGGGGGGGC